CTCAATGTCTCAGCAGGGTCCCCTGACCTAACATGATTTCTGGACTCCCCTGCCTCTATCCCCCAGGTATTGAAGCGGTTTGTCTCAATGTCTCAATGTCTCAGCAGGGTCCCGGCTCCTGACATAAAAAAAAATCCCGCCCCCTTGTCCAGGCCGATTTGAAGGACGACTCCATGGAGGTGGCGAATGAAGGAGAAGCCGCGGCTGAGGCCGGGTGTGTGAGATCACGTTTTCCCGCCTGATACCCGTTTTTTGTCAGGCAGATCCCATGGAGAAGGCGGCCGCGCAGTGGGAAGAGGTGGTGGCAGCAGCAGACAGCGGAGATGGAGCGGCGGGCATCCTGCGGACGTTCGTGTTGCAGAAGCACGGTGCCAAGGCTCCGGGTGCGCTCTGGGCGATGCTGAAGGTCTTCGGGCAGCGCGACTGGCGCGACTTGCCGATCGGCGGACTGGGGTCGCTCGCGAGGGAGGTGCCAGCAGAAGTCTTCTTCAATGAGGAGCCTCCGGAGGACTCCCCGGACTGGACGGAAGAGGCTCTGAAGCGAGAGCGCGAGGCGGACGCAGGGGTCGCAGCAGCTGAGGATTTCGTCCGCGAAAGGGGGATGGATGAGGCCGTGAGGTCCAGTGACCACATGGATGAGGAGGCGGAGATGCACCACACCGCCAACGGCCCCCAGGTCCTCTTCGACCGCGTCAACCCCGAGGCCGTGAAGGAGATTGGCAGGCGGGTGCTGAGCAAGGTCTTCAGAACTGCAGACGGAGGTGGGCCCACGCTGCTGAGGATCGCAGGGGACATCCTGAAGCAATGTGGCAGAGGCATGTTGTCAGGTTCCTCACGACCTACAGGGAGGAGAGCAAGATGATGGAGATCGGCATGAAGGGGAGACGGTACAGTGGATTCTGCCCTGTTGTCAAGAAGAAGAAGAAGGACGAAGAGGAGGAGGATCGCTCCCCGCAGCCCGACGGTGGGCTTGTGTCTGCGCATGTGCGGACGAGCGTCTTCGCCCAGCCCTGTTGGTTGAGAGACGTGTTCAGAGCGGGACTTCCCAACCACTTGGTCTTCGACTTGGTGAACGCGCACTTGGCCATCTCCGCGAAGAGGTGGGGCGCCGATGAGGGGTCAGCTCTGAGGGAGTACATCGACCGCCGGGACGCCGTGCTCTCGGAGACCCACGCAGAGCGGTGGATCGCGAAGCAGCTCTATCTGCGCCTGCTCTACGGCGGCTCCGTCAAGGCCTGGAAAGCCGAGCACAAGGTCACGCAGTTCGCGCGGGAGGGCTTCGCTCACAAGTTTGCGAAGGAGATGTCAGAGGGCCGAAAGAAGGATTGTGGTGCTCGCAAGGGGGAGCTGGGCAAACTCCGGCAGATGACAGCACGGCCCGTGGAGTTCCTCCAGTACGCCCTCAACACGGCGACCGAGAGGGAGCTCGTTGACCTCGTCGTCAACAAGGTCGAGGAGGACCCTGAGGCGGCAGTCTGCGCCTTCGAGCACGACGGCCTCTTCCTCTACTACCCGGCAGGCCAGAAGAAGCTCCTCGCGGACATCAAGAGTGTGCTGGGTGACGTCAGCTTCACGGTCAAGCCCACGCTGTCCGTCAAGGATGCACTCGCGACAGCCGAGGCGGAGATCCTGAAGCAGGCGCCGGAGCTGGGTCACTTGTGGAACCAAGTGGACGATGCGTGGCTTGATCACCACAACGTCATCATGCAGGCGTACGAGGGGAGCCTGACGTACCACGGCCTGTACGCAGAGGTCGTGTTGAGGTCGCCAGCGGTCTCTCCGGACGTGCCGTATCCTTTGACGGCGATATTCAAGATGATCCTTGACACTGGACATAGATGTTGGTTTAGCTGCAGTCGCAGTGCGTGGTTTTTGACCGGGGACAGCAGCATCGACGCGCTCAAGCTCGCAGCCTCGAAAATTTGTGTACGGGACCTCTCCGACTACATCTGCTCCTGGTCGACGTCAGAGGATGCCATCGCCACCGTCAACATCCGCTGGGAATACACCGGAGAGAGCTTCAAAAGTGGCCTGGCTGCCAGCCTCAAGCCTGCCCTCGGGGTGGCGCAGAGCGAGTTCGATCTGGATGGTGAGGATACCAGGAAGTACCTCAACTTCAACGGCAAGGTCTTCAATGCGGAGACTCTGCAGTGGTCGCCCATGCGCCCGGAGATGAAGATCACGCGCAACACCGGCTGGGATCACAAGTGGCCGGTCTGGTGGGGGGACTACGGAGCCGAGCTTCTGGGAGTGCTCAAGGAGGTGCGACGCCAGCAGGACTCCTTCAAGGACAACGAGAGGGAGTACGCCTTGGACGCGGCCGTGCAGAGGCGCCTTGACGAGCTGTGCGGCAAGATCCCCGCGCTGGACGTGGTGCACACCTGGACTCGCGACGATTGGGAGTCCACGATCTTTGAGCTGTCGCTGTTCGCCAAGGGCACCTTCGGCATGACGCAAGCCTGTGGCCTGTGGACCCGCGGAGTGGGGCGCAACGGGAAAGACACGGCGGCGAACATGATGGACTCGGTGCTGGGCGGGTACAGTGTGTCGCTGTTGGCGAGCACCCTCAGCAAGATCAGGGATCCGAATGCCCCGTCCCCGGCCTACGCGCTGCTGAGGGCCCGCCGCTTCGTGGCGGTGAGGGAAATAGACAAGTGTGACCCGATCCGTCAACAAATTTACAAGACGGTGACCGATCCTAACAGCGTCTTGTCTGGCCGCGATGT